TCCTAACCTAACACATGGACTAAATAGATGGTTTCCGTATTCAGGAAATTTGTTCAGATGAACAAGACCTATTTTGTGGTAAAAAATTTCGGCACAGGATTCACTCACCAGGTGGTGTTCGTGTGACATTAATTTAGAATGTTTTGCCCTAACTTAAGATCTTAACTAGATTGAAAGCTCCCAACTTAGGCAAAGTTGTTCAGATAGACTAAACATATTCTATGGTAAACAGTTTAGCTAAGAATTTACTCATCAGTTTTCACTGTTGCTTCACATTGTTTCGAGTTTTTTGGTTTCACTGGACAGCTTGCCTAGATGAAAGTTATTTGATTTCGACCAAGTTTTTAAGATGAACTAAAACAATTATATGGTAATCCTCATAGTTTGGAATTCATTTCCCAGGGATCACTAAAGCGTCATTTTGTTTAGATTTTTTGCATTAATTTTATATTAAAGTAATAAGAATATCGCTCTCTTCAGCAATTTTGGTAAGATGAAAAAAATAATATATTAGTTGCCAACTCTGTACAGAGGAGTCCTGACATCCAAATTTAGAAATAAATATGCAATTCAATTTAAGCTTTTGTTTATTTGAAAATATATTCTTTAAAATAAGACAGATATGTACCAGTCACTATTGTTCATCAACTAATCATCACTCTCTTCACTTGGCTTTTCAATGCAGGCTTGGCAAATCGAATACATATGATCATTACAAACATATTTGTGACATGCCGTACATTGCGTGGAAACTTTCTTGTCGCTGGACCGTGGACATATTAAACATCGGGAACGTTTACAGGTACTCTCTTCTTCTTCTGTTGGTGATACACTCACTAGGGTATATCCCATTTGACGAATAGCATCTGCTACATCACCGAAAATTTTTGAAGACTTCGCTATTGCTCTTCAATTAAAGGATGAACCAACTCCTTTCCCAATTTCTTACGTTTTGTAGAATAATTATCAGCATTCGGAAATTTAAAAAAAAGTAAAGAATATAAGCAGCAATACATGCTACGTCCATCATATTGAAGAACGCAGTCATGGACCATCTATTTGATTTTCTCCGACAGGTGTACGTTGAAACAAGTTTGTCCATATTGTCTACTCCACCTTTAGTCTTGTTGTAGTCCAATATTATTGTCGGCTTGTTTATCTGTGTCACATCCGTTTCATTTGTGTGATGCATTGTGGACAGTAAAATCACGTTAAGTAAAATTGAGAAAAAAAAATACCCCCCCCCCTCTTCCTTCTTTCGTCACGTTTTCCCTATACCTAATGCATTGCTTGTTACAAAATCATACCCCCCCCCTCTCCCTTAGAGCGTGACATAATATATGCATCCCCGCTTATCTTGGAGTTCAATAAAAAGCTGGTCATCAGGAAAGGAGTAGCTGATTGTATTTCACATAAGAATATATAGCAAGCTTACCCGTAAATCATTATTGAACAATGCTAGGACTATGAGAACTAAAAGATCACTTTTCCCATAGTAATTCCCATATAAACTTCCAAGGGACAGTGCAGTATGAGATGGGGAGATGTAACACTAGCCGGCAGTGTTGTTATGGAAGAACTCTCTCTACAATGTCGCATTTATGGTCATTGTAGACAGCTTTAGTCCGGGAGTTAGAAAGTGATAGCTCTATTGCAGATCCAGCAACCCATTTCAGAATGTCTGGAGAGTCACGCCCATTCTGAGGTTACTTTCACTGACAATAAGCCCCGCATGTATGTATTACCTCTATCAATAGGATATTAGTATTACACACACACTTCCAGTTTCAACATGTTCTATTGAACATGGCACGTATTTAGTTTATTTATATTTTTTAATTGTGAAAGGTATTTGGAATGGTCTCACCATATTAATTTGATTCTCCAATCCATGGGTTCCGTAATTTTGATTTTCTTCAAGCTTTGCATCTCATTTCGTGATGCACCTTTGTCGTACTACTTCCTTTAACGAATACTAATTTTCTTGCATTGTCATGGTCATCTGGGAGGAGGTTCGCGTGTAGTGCTTTCCCCAGGAACAGTTCGCGGCCATCAACTGCCACCCAGGCATCTTTCATATTGCTCGCAATCAACGACACCGGCGAGAGACCAGCAGCCGTGCACTTTTGCAAGCGGAAAACTTGCTGATTCCCGGCAACGTCGGCCTCCGAATCACCACCAAAACTCACGACGGACACCTTATCAACACGTTCCCGGGCTAATTCACCAACTAGACCGATCTCTCAATAGAACTACACGCCGAAAGTGTAGCATCCGAACTCTGAGAACCGGGCTCCTGGGAGGCAATGAAAATCGACATCGAACAATGGAACTGAATCTGCGTTGTTATATTTTGAAGGTTAGATTCAAGGATCCAACCGAGCCACTCAAGGCAAACACAGGCAAAACACGATATATCACTAAATGATAACTTTATGAACAGTTGAAACTAAATTTCAGCACACAAATTAACAAATGTAATGCCAAAATTTGTTTTTCTTGAGGCAACGCACTATGGGCAAAAATGGGTCCAAAATTACCCAAAATTCAATATCTCAACAGCACGCTGAATTCCGGCCATGAAAAACAATTTTTCCGAAGGGAAATTGTTAGATGAATCGATTGCACGTGGTCCCATAGACCGGAGAGCCTTGTAGGTATGTGTTTTGGACCATTTTACCCCATTTTCCCCTACTTTTTGGAGGAAATGTTTTTTTCACAGCTCTATTTTTCGTAAAACATAAGCACTTTATGCATGGTTTTAGAATACTATGTCTTTAAACAACAATTCATGAGATATTAGGGGAATACGGGGTACACTTTATAGGGGAGTAAGGGGTAAAAGTGAACCCTCGCTAAATTTATTTTAATTCATAAAAATGTTGAACGATGCGATTGTTTGAATGAACCCAAAGGTTGCCTGCAATAATAAGATTTTTTTTTTAAATTTTAAGGTTAATTGGGGTTAAATAAGTTTAAATTTACTGCTATCTGTTTTAAAAGAGTTTTCACTTTTTTTGTCTGTATGCAGCAAAACGATATAGTGGTTCTCAGAATTTTGTAAAAATTGGTAGTTTTGTTCCTAATCGCTACATATTAGACCCTTATTTTTTATTTTGTCATAAGGGTGACTATTTATATATTAGAGCGGTAAAAAAAAAAAAAAAATTCGATTTTTTTCAAAAATTTATAACTTTTGAACTGTTTGGCCGATGGCGGAACTCAAAATACCTAATGAAAGTTAATTAGAAGTATTTTTAAGAAAAAAATATTAAGATATTAAAATAAAAGGATTTTGTATTAAAAAACATTGATTGTTTTTTTCTCACTTTTACCCCTTACTCCCCTATAAAGTGTACCCCGTATTCCCCTAATATATCATGAACTGTTGTTTAATGACATAGTATTCTAAAACCATGCATAAAGTGCTTATGTTTTACGAAAAATAGAGCTGTGAAAAAACATTTCCTCCAAAAAGTAGGGGAAAATGGGGTAAAATGGTCCAAAACACATACCTACAAGGCTCTCCGGTCTATGGGACTACGTGCAATCGATTCCCCGGACGATTTCTCTTCGGAAAAGTCGTTTTTCATGGCCGGAATTCAGCGTGCTGTTGAGATATTGAATTTTGGGTAATTTTGGACCCATTTTTGCCCATAGTGCAACGATTGACACAGTTGGAGCAAAAACCAAGAGCAAATTTTCATTATGTCGTAAGTAACATTCGCACCAATCCGAGAAAAATAAAGTTTTGTTTTGATGACCGAAAAGTTATTCCTATTTTCAATTAAACTCGTATAATCTCATAGTGATAGCAATGTTTAACATATATAGCAGGGTTCTAATCATACAAATGCAATTCGCTAGCTTTCATGTTAAAAAATACTGGTTTTTAAGTCAAAAGCTATTATACGTCGTTTGGTGGCCCCTATTGTTACTTAAGTCAAAGTGTATTTACCAGGATATTCGGGAGAATTATCAATTACGTCTCCTTACGTGCAGCCCATTCATCATTTTAGGACCACCGAAATCATCTTAGCAACAAACAGTTCGATTTATTCACTTTAATAATGAGAAAGCGAAACGACGAACGTACACTTTTCACGGGTTTCTCAGCGCTGCTACTTGAGTCAAACGGCATCTCCATAGAAATCGGGTGACTTAAGTAACATCGAAAACTATTTTGATCGGAAGGTGATTACGTCAAAAAGCAATTTGACTGGTAAATAAATTTAAAAATGGGATGTGATCCTATATTCGGACAGAATATAGTGTAATAGCAGGAGCATCGATTGACACTGATAGCTCGACTTTGTTTACCTTTGTTACTTTCGACGTAATGAAAATTTGCTCTTGAAACGATATTTTGAACCACCCTAATAAACGGAGAAGAATATCGGCAACCGACTTACCACCCTTAACTAACTACCCTTAGGCCGTTCGCAATGCTGAGTTTCAAAATTGTTTTAAACTACTCGTCAATTCTATAATTTGAAACTGTCAAAAATAAAACTGCAACACGATCAGCGCAACGCACAGTTCTAAAAGATGTTTGTAATCATCAAGTTCCATAAACTTTACTGTTTTCTATGAAGTTCATAGAGTTGTTTGTGAAGCTCTTCGAAACATCTTTAAATACATACAAAGAAATTTGAAACAGACTTCCATTCGTGTTTCAAACTCGCTCAGAAATAAAACAGAATAGTCGAGCAGTTGCAAATCTGGTGCAAAATAGTGCTCGAATAATGAAACTGCAACTCAGCATTGCGAGAGGTGCGTTTCTGTTCTAGTTTCAAATTGAAACAATCCTTATAAAATACAACAGCATTGCGAACGGCCTTAAAATGCCACGTTGCCAGTAAACAAAGTTGACCGTTGCTATACGCGGTATCCATGTCTACGGCCATGCGAAGCACGTGCTTCCTTTATAGGTACTCTTTGGAAGGGGACATGCAAACAAGCAATTTCGTTCAAAGTTTGTTTATGTCGTACCAAGAAGGCCAGTTTCAGAGGAAGGTTCCTTTGATTGGTTGTCATTTATTTTTAGGAAATCATGTCTTTTGAGGTAAAATTCAATTGGAAATAATTCACTTTACATGCATAAACATTTCCTAAATAATTCCAGCAAGACAAACGTTCCCTGTACGAGCGCCGCCGTAACATTCTCTACCTTGTTTCGCACTATTTTTCCATCATGGGTCTCAACCAATCCCGCCAAGCACTGCTGGACGAAACACACCTAACGGAAGAATTCGAAGTCTGCGACAACATCGATCTGGACACAATCTACCAGGAGTACTGCAGCTACTATTCGCTCAAATTTGGCAAGCAGCCCCGAATTATCAAGAAAAACGAAGCTTACTCGCTGCAACCGCCTCCCGCCTTACCCCAACGCAAGCAATCAGCCTATAAGAAACGAGTACATCCAACGGTGAAACCACAACCACTGTCCCCACGTGGCGAACCGGAACCGGAATGTGAGGTTAAAAATCTAGGCAACAACCTTACGGTGTCCCAATTGGTCAATCCCAATCTAGCCTCTCCTAGTAAGACTAAAAATAATTCCGGGGCCACGGCCAAACTCCATGAAAATGACACATCCAATTCCGCAGTACTGGTTCCCAATCTGAGACCGTTCATTAGATTGCATGAAAACTTCACCAGCGAATGGAAGGAGCTGGCTGATGCGGTTTGCAGGTAACGTCCTTAAAAACAACCACACACCCATTTCAGATTTCACATTCGTTTTTTTTTGGTCAGGGACCTCATCAAGAAAGACCTCCAGCAGCGTTGGCATCAAGTGAAAGGCCTGGACCTGCCGATCAAACTGCTAAAGGAAAGTGTCATCACCCCACTGCAATTCCCAGATCTCTTCGTAGGCCTTACCAAACCGTGGCGTTGCATCTTGCTTCACGGCCCACCCGGAACCGGAAAAACCATGCTAGCTCGTACACTGTGTTCGGAAAGCCTCGATTCCATCACGTTCTTCAATGCTACTGCCAGTACGTTGATTTCGAAATGGCGCGGCGAATCCGAGAAGCTCATTCGAGTGCTGTACGATGTGGCACGGTTCTACGCTCCATCGATCATATTCATCGACGAGTTCGATGGCCTAGCGTCCCGGAGGGACTCGATCGGAGAGCATGAAGCTTCCAAACGGTTCAAAAATGAATTCCTAGCGCTGATTGATGGGTTGGATAGTGGGTCGGACGAGGAGCGCGTGTTTCTGCTGGGGAGTACCAATATTCCGTGGGACATTGATCCGGCATTTCTGAGACGATTCGAGAAGAAGATACTGATCGATGTTCCCGACGGGGAAGGAAGGAAGGCGATAATACACGATCTGCTGCCGGTAGCGACCGGTTGGGATCAGAAGCAGATGGGTGAGTTGGTTGCTCGGACGGAGAACTTCACCGGAGATGAAATTCGGATCGCGTGCAAGGAGGCTTCCATGATGATGATACGGGACAGGATCGAGAAAAATAGTGGTGAGTTGTGAGGCATTGCGTAATCCTACGTTATTATAAGATTACTCAAATTGATGCAGACGCATAATTGATTTCCACGATGGAAATAAAGGGTCTGTCCATATATCACGTTGAGGGTTTAGGTGGGGAGAATGGGTTGCCGAGTGCACATGGATCATATAAATTTGTGTAGATACCATGAAGGCACATTTGACGCAGGTCCAAACTGAACGCACTTTTGGACTATACACGACAAGTGTTTCAAATAATTAACCAGTGAATTGCAGTGAACTCTCCACAACTTGATATTTCTTTACTTCTTTATTTTGAGGGAAAAGCCCATCATTTCAGTATCAACAGATATTCCTGCAGTGTATCCGCGGAATAATTCTTGCACCGGGAGTCCGCCTTAGAGCGTGACATAATATATGCATCACCCCTAATTATTGTTATTTGCAACATAAACTGGACTAGCAAACCCCAAAAGAGCCAATACCATGATAAAAGTGCACCTTTAGTTCGAATCGCCTTGATGTCTTTACCGTTCTTATTTCTTGGTTCATTAGGCTGGAATAAGTGCGCCGATGGTAGCGGAGACTATTCGACGCAAACGCGTATTTAAAAATTCACTCTACCAAAAACAACCAAACAGTGAACAATGCGTCCTCTGAGTTCAGTTCCATCCCGAAGCGAAAGTTTTCAAACATTTTCGGAAATTTAATTTCATTCCAGGGCCCAATGGAAAGTCGTGCTCTAAACCGTTTCCCGAAGAAGTTCAACACCATCAGCTTTTGACTGCTCTGCAACAGATTCAACCTGCCTCGCTTCCGCTGATTGAAAAACACCGCGACTGGAACCGGAAGTATGGAAATCAAGCGTAATGGTGAAAAGAAAAACATTAATGAAGTAATGGAATTGAATAAACATCACATTTTCCTGCATTTATATATATTCGTCTCCTCTACTTTTGAAACAAAAGACTGGCTTTACTTCCAAAAAAACAGATCTCTTATTCATAAAAGAAAAAAAAAATTCACTTCCAGTTCAACTCCTTACAGAAAATCCCTACGATGCTAGGTCATTTAAATCAAAAAAGCATAGAGAAACTTATGAGATAGATAATCAAAGCAATACTTCCTAGGACGGCCGCGCTCGCTTCTGAGACATTTTCTGCCCGTGGTAGAGTCCCGTGTAGTAACCGCTCATGTACCAGGACATGAGCATGGCGGACAAATTTTCCGACTCCAGATCGTCATCGTCTTCCAGCATTGGTGGCATCGGTGGCGGAGGTGGAACCATGAACGAAGCCCCCATTCCGGCATGGAAACCCGAAGAAGCCGCCTTCGATGGACCCGCTTTCGGCACCCGGAAGTTGGGATCGAAATTGATCCGGATTTTGTTGGCTTTATCCGTTAGCTTATGTTCGTCGTCGCTTATGTCCATTCGGTGTGTGTCCTCTTCTGCTGCAAGCTCGGCAGCATCTTCACGCTGCTTGCGGCGTGCTTTGCGTCCCCACGACGGTACCAGATCCTCCATGGTGACAGTCTGTTCATTGTTGTAGCCAACGTACCGAATCAGAGCATCGCCGGATTTGTCGACCGCCAAGATTTTGGCCTCATAATCGACGCCGTCGTCATACGTGGCGCGGCAGTAATCTGCGACCTGATACGAAGGTTTATTTCCCGTTTCACACGCACCCTTTTCTGCCGAGGAATTTTCAACCCCGGATGACTCTCCTTCCGCTTCTTGCTTTACTTGATCCGATGTGGACGCTTGTGACTGCTGCTGCTGATCCTGTGACCCCGCCTTAGACGCTTTAGCCATCATCTTTTTGTTGGTCTTCATGGCCAGCCTTTTGGCGACTTCCTCTCTTACCATAGCGAGCGACTCATCGTAATTCCGAATAATAAGTGTATCGTCCCAAATATCATCGGTCGATTGTTCGCCTTCCGAGCTGCTGGATGACTGTAGGCGACGAAGAAAAAAAAAAGGTGGAAAATCTGAAAAATAAGCAAATTAAACAAACAGCCACTTACCGCCTTACTGCGAGAAGGATTCATACTGTGGCAGCTTGAGGTGTGATTTTCGAGGGCAGGATGTTGAATTCACCGGAAAATGTCGGAGAAAACGTTTCGAATTTTTCCGCACAACGAACAATCCTGCTACTTTAGCTGACAGAGAGTGCAAACAATACACTCGTCAGTCGCATAGCATCAGGGGTGCCAGATCTTTTTCCGAAAAAAATATCGAGAGCTTCACAATGTGATCATAAATAATTCTCGTCAAAATAAATAACTAATTCAAGTCTATTGGCAAATCAAAGTCGGTACTCGTGGAGAATAGATGAACTATGATAGTGATGATGGTTTCAAAATTTTACGCTGTGAGGTATACGAGTTCAATCTTATAATGTTTACATTTTGCAAATGGAGCATTTTATTCAAATCTGGTTAATGCTACGCTAGTACACAGCAAAAAAAAAATTAATATCGATCAATGTAATTCAAGCTGATGTATGAAATAATGATATAATAGCAGATGTACACAGAAAAAAAAGTTGTTGAATATTACATCGAAACTGCTGCAACCAGGTCAATCCATCGGTTGAGTAATATCACATTGTACGATGTCCATCGATTTTGCGAACAAAATTACATCCATTGATGTAATATTGCATCTGCTTTTTGCTATTACATCATTATTTCATACATCAGCTTGAATTACGTTGATCGATATTACATTTTTTTTGCTGTGTAGCAGATACAATGAAAAAAGCAGATACAATATTACATCAATGGATGTAATTTTGTTCGCAAAATCGATGTACATCGTACAACGTTATATCACACAACCGATGGATTGACCTGGTTGCAGCAGTTTGGATGTAATAATCAACAACTTTTTTTTTCTGTGTAGAAAACTTAAGGACTTTTCTTAATATACATAAAATATAGAAAAAATAATTTCTTTTCAGATTTTTATGTGTAGACATAGATAGAATCGAGGATATTGTTGTTTATTGTTGTTTTACATCAACAGGCTGGATGAAGCCCCAATGATTTTAACCTAACCGAGGATAGAACATAGACCGAATCTAGTAAACATAAACACTAAAAAGATAGAATACACTTATAGCTGATTTCCAATGCATTAATGCATAAAAATACACTTTTATTTTTCTAATACACAGAAAATTACATATATTCAAAAAGTGCAAAATAATACATTATTACGCAAAATACACGTTTATTCGATAAAAAATAATTCAATACGTTCGTCTGAACTGAAAATACACAATTGAATCGCCCCTTGGTTTACACCTCCGGTGAAGTGAAAATCTGACAGATACGCTCTTTCTCGAAACTTCAACTTTTCGCTTAAGGCCTGTATAGAGATCGAAGCAAAGTGAAAATCTTATACAAAATCGAGGGGGGCGTCACATCTAAATCTCAATTATGGATGCTCGAGAAAATCTCACAATAGCAAACCAATCTACTAAAAATCTTCTTTCATTTCTCGCATCTACTTTCATCGTGCATCATCTTTTTGTAGGAAATCTTCAGAATCGTCATAAATATTCTTTCTATCTACTCAGTGTGCGCGCACCCTAATAAAAAATAACCATAAACGAACGACAACCCAAATCATTGAACTATTCCACAAATGGTTTGGATGATACCCAGAACACGTCGTTAAGCAAATTAACCATACAATTTTTATTAGGGCAGCTAACCACAATAAAACAAAATCGTTTCCACATCGTAGATAGAGTCATCCCCCTCGTACAAAATACTAAATTTTTCACCAGCGTGAAAAACGCAATTGGCAAATTTTTCACTTCGCTTTGAACTGTAAACAGATACGATCCTGCGAAATATAATGTTGTGGATCGCATCTTTTTCGCTTACGTTTATTTTTTTTTCACGCATGCAGCGCTCACGAAAAGCGCAGCAAAGAAGCAAAAAGTTGACGTTTCGAGAGAGAGTATCTGTCAGATTTTCACTTCACCGGAGGTCTAAACTGATCGATTTCGTTTCACATGAACTGTAAACTGCGAAAAAAGGAAACTGAAAAATGTTCCACAAACACTTTTTCACAACCTTTCTCGCTAGCGAAATTTCATTAGTTTTCGCGTGCTTCAAATTTCGTTTCGCTTCGATCTGTATACTAGGCTGTATCTGTTCACAGTTCAAAGCGAAGCGAAATATTTGCCAATTGCGTTTTTCACGCAGGTGAAAAATGTAGTAGTTTGTATGAGATTTTCGCTTCACTTCGATCTCTATACAGGCCTTTACAGTTCAAAGCGAAGTGAAGAATTTGCCAATAGCGTTTTTCACGCAGTTGAAAAATTAAGTATTTTGTATGAGGTTTTCGCTTCGCTTCGATCTATATACAGGCCTTAATAAACAAATACCATAAACGAACTGTATCCTGGATGGGTAAACTTTCCCACAAACGGTTTGGATTATACCCCGAACAAGTCGCTAATCTTTTTTTTTATGTTTTTTTTTATTAGGGTTGTAAATTAAACAAAATCTGAAATTTTAATCCACCAGATAAAATTAAAAATAGTACCGCAATGCCTGATTTAACTGGACATACTGGCAACGCTGCCACACACGCATCCATCAGGAACAGCACTGAAAAAGCAAAACAGAATGGGGTGCGTTCGCAGAGACCACAGTGCCACAGTGGCCAAAGTATGGTGAGGTACAACTTGAAATGTAATCAACATTTCGACTCAATTGAGTTGTTGTGAGTTACTGATAATGAAAACTAAAATTTGGTGTGTGCTCTATATACACACACACACCAAATTTTAGTATTCATTATCAGTAACCGGATTATAATCAGCAACAAAAAAGCTTTGCTGAAAAACAGCAAACGATATTTTTACCAAAAAATTCAGCTAACATAAACGGTTTGCTGGACACCCAGTAAAGAGCTGTCAATCTGTTAGCGTCACAGTCGCAAGTATTTGCATTCGTACGATTCGTACAAACCACCGAAGAGGAGGAGATAAACAAAACTACAAACATATACACGGTGTTTCGCGAAAACCCATTAATGGGTATAAAAACACCCATTTTCGCTAAAAGTGCCCCTCCTCATTTAATGGGTAAACTATGGTTTACTCATTAATGGGTAAATGAGGGATCTGTCAATAAATGGGTGTTTTTTTACCCATCTTCTTGAATTGTGTTTTTCGTAAAATGGGTAAAAAAATACCCATTTCTTCAAATGGAGGATGCTGGTCCTCGTTGATATAAAAAAAAACTTTCTAATATTTACATTGAGAATAAATGCATTTGTAGCGAAAAAAAATATAACACGAGATATTATAATACCACATTGGATAAAACTGTATAGACTTATCCGTAAGTCTCTCCAATGTTTCGGAATCTAACCTTTTCCAGAGATCGTTCATTTTTGCTAAAAAAAGCGGACAGAAACTTTTTGCATTCCCAATGGTCGGTGACGGAATGAGACGATAAAATTTCCAAGTGTTTTTTCACCCATTAGTGGGTAGAAAATATACCCATTATGCAATCGTGAACTGATTCTTTAAATGGGTATTTTTTCACCCATTTTATGATTTCCAAATTCCCCCATTTTTTGACAGCTGCATACATGGTTTGAAAATGGGTATTTTTTTACCCATAAATGGGTTTTCACGAAACACCGTGTAGACTTCTCTGACGCTTGTGAATTGCACAAGTATTACTGCAGAACTTTGGGTAAATTCAAAGGTTTTCTTGCACTAATACTTATAATTTACCCCGAGTTCCGCACTAATAATTGTGCATTTTACAAACGTCAGAGAAGTCTATACAATTATGTTGGTAATACCATAGAGGTAATTCTAAGACCAGAAGGTCCCGCAGAAACGAGCTCAACTTTTTGGCTCAGCTCTGGTACTATCTTTGGTCCCAAGCGAGGGGGACGACACATCTAAGGCCACGGCCAGGGTAGACGCGACGCGACGCGACCAATTCAAAATAATTTTATTATTTATTATTATTCCTTGCGTGAGTCGCATCGCGTCGCGTGTCGCGTCTACCTTGGCCGCGGCCTAAATCTCAATTCTAGGTGCTCAACAAATCTCACACTAGCTAATCAATATTCGAAAAATCTTCTTTAATTTCTCGTATCTACTTGCATCGTGCATCATCTTTTTGCAAGAAATCTTCAGAATCGTCATAAATCTTCTTACTATCTACTCAGCGTGCGCGCAGCTAACCACAGCAAAAAACAGTTTTTCCTTCATCGTAGATAGAGTCGCCCCCCTCGGTCCCAAGCTAATCGATGCACGTGAAATACACTACACGTTGATTTCTAGTGTTTCAAACATTCAAATTAATAGAGAAAGATTATCGACATTTAAGTGTACAGCACATTGAATCACACTTCAGACGGATTTGAAGTGTTTTGCATTTCAATGCGATGTGGATTGCTTGTTGTGCAAGGTAAAAACCGTGGCCCAGTGAGATCGAACGAAGACAACGGCAGCAGCACACCCCAACAGTCCAGGATCAATTCCCAATTCAGGCCCATAAAAAGACATGTGTAAGCTCTGCCTTCTGGCAGCTTTGTTTATATATTTGTCGATTCAATTTTGGGGTCGGTATAGTAGAATATTGTACAATATGATTTGCAAAGCTATTGTGACTCCAAGTGCGGATAGACAATTCGAAAAAAAAATAGTGTTGAGGCATGGTTCAAAGCATAAGATTCACACAGGAAATGGATGTGTTTCACAATAAGTGCTCAATTAAGTGTGAAACACATGATGATGACGTGTGGAATTTAACGGTTAGAAAAAAAATACCCAAAATTGAGTTCCTTTCACTCTACACGTGGCTTCCGTGGGGCTAGGAAAAATTAAGTTAAAGAATAAAACTCAATTTTGAGTAATCCTGATCAAGAATCCATTGAGTGAAAATTACCTAACGATCAATCAAAAGGAATTGTAAAAATTTAGAATAATTGTCCTTTATTTAGAAAGAACATCAATGATGGCATCAAATCAAATATGGCAAAAAAAGTAGAAGCAACAATCAATACGAAACTAACGATTCTAAATTGGCTCACTACTTGACTAGCCTATTGGTCCCAAGCAAACCATTAACGTACCCCATTCTAGTCGAAATTATAGTACTACGCAATGTTTGTTT